TTAATTTATAAAATTTTTGACAAATCTCTGAAAGAGCCTGAAAACTTTCAATTGTTATTATGTTATTTTGTATTCTGTGTTATTTTATTTATATGATAAGAATTGATTTTTAATAAATATAAAATTGTTATTTTATATATATATATATATATACATACACATATATAGGGTGTCTCAAGGTTTCTCAACAAACTGTGGAAGGACCATTCTACAAATGGAGATAAGAAAAAATATTATATGAAGTTTGGCTAGAAATGCTTGATTACAAAGTTATAAAAAATATTATTAAAAAACGGAACATGAAATAGGTAACTACAGATTTTCCATCATGCAGAATATGAAAGGTCGAACATGTGTTTATCTTATCTGTGTATTCATATCATGTTTACTATCTTCAAAAGATTTAGTATGATTGTTACTTTTACATCAATAGCTTTTGCATCAATTAGATTTCAATCGTTGTGTGAATTAGCTACTACCATCAAAATACCAAGAGTGTTTTTAAATGAGGAATACACCGATATACACTGATTCTGCACAATGAAAAATCCATGGTTACCTATTTCATGTTCCGTTTCAATATTTGCTTATAACATTGTAATAAAGCATTCTATTCAAACTTCATATAATATTTTTTTCTTATTTCCATTTGTAGAATATTCTTCCACAGTTTGTTGAGAAATCCTGGGTCACCCTGTGTATATATATGAAATATAATATAATATAATATAATTATTTTCACAGAAATGTAAAGTCACTTTGGAGACCAGAATATGGTGCTTACATGATTGAAGGAACTCCAGGGAAACCATATGGAGGATTATTAGCTCATTTTAATGTTGTTGAAGCTAACATGCGTTATCGAAGACAAGAGGCATCAAAATTATTACAACCTAATGAAGTTTTAATGTCATTAACTGTTTTTCCAAGGTAGTTATAAAGAGAATAAATCATTAATATAATAAAAATATTTTGACATTTTATACATTTTATTATTTCTATTACAGAATAGGAGCTCCTGACTTTACTGATCCTCCTACTTATCCAACATTCAATACTGGTGCCTCCAAGAGCTTATTTTTTCCTGATGAAGCTATATATCCTGGTCATCCACGTTTCAAGACATTAACTAGAAACATAAGAGAACGACGTGGAGAAAAAGTTGCTATAAACATTACTAGTATGTAATAGCATTATAGACAATATTGACAATGTATATATATTTTCTATTTTTTATATTAAAATTTCTGAATGTGTAAATTTTTTATGATATAAATAGATATTTTTGTAGTTTACAGAGATAAAAATGTGCCACTGTTATTCAGAGAAGATCTTACCAACAAAGGAGATGATGGATCCTCCTCTAAGGCATCTAAAGATAATCACATCTACATGGATGCAATGGGTTTTGGGATGGGATGTTGTTGTTTACAACTCACTTTTCAAGCATGCAACATACAAGAAGCAAGAACATTATATGATCAACTGACACCTTTATGTCCAATCATGGTTAGTGTTAAATAATATTATTAACAATTTTTTTATTTTTTTTATATAACAATAACATACTGTCAGAGTGTTTTTTTCATGCATACGTTACAGAACATTTCTTTAACATTCGACAGTTGGCTTTAACTGCAGCCAGTCCGTTTTATCGCGGTTACATAAGCGATGTTGATTGTCGATGGAGCGTCATATCTTCGTCAGTGGACTGTAGGACACAAGAGGAACGCGGATTGAAACCTCTTAAGGAAAATAAATTTAGAATCAGTAAGTCTAGATATGATTCTATCGATTCATATCTTAGCAAAGAAGGGGAAAAATATAATGATGTCCCTGTGACATATGATGATGAAATATATAAGCAGCTTTTGGATAATGAAATCGATCATTTGCTTGCACAACATATAGCTCATTTGTTTATCAGAGATAGCGTATCTTTGTTTTCCGAAAAAGTACATCAGGACGATTTGGAGGATACTGATCACTTTGAGGTAAAATTACAATTGTAATGCTAACTTATGGATATTAATTGCGCGCAGTTGTAGAATACAATGTTCGCACAATTATAAAATATATTATTGTTTTAGAATATACAATCTACAAACTGGCAAACTATGCGTTTTAAACCACCACCGCCAAACTCTTCTATCGGGTGGCGTGTAGAATTCCGTCCATGCGAAGTTCAAATCACGGACTTCGAAAATGCCGCAATAGTTTGTTTCACGGTATTATTGACGAGGGTCATATTGAGTTACAAATTAAATCTTTTAATTCCAATCAGCAAAGTTGATCAAAATATGGTCAAAGCGCAAAAAAGAGATGCAGTCAAATTGGAGAAATTTTGGTTTCGTCGTGATATTACTTCAGATATAAAATCTGATGATGCTCAATCAGAATATACTGAATTTACAATTAACGAAATTATTAATGGAAAGGTGCTTATCTCAGGAATAAAATACACGATAAGAATATTTTGTGTTATTATATAACTCATATTTTTTTCTATTTTTAATAAATATACATTTTTATGCACAAGTTTCAGGTAAATATATTTTCTATATGATAATTTTTTTTTTTTTTTTTTTAGGATGGTATTTTCCCTGGTCTTGTGCCATTAGTTAACTCGTATCTCTCTAACATGGATGTAGATGCAGATACACATTGCACTATACAAAGATACATAAAATTAATACAGAAACGTGCTTCTGGGGAACTTTTAACAACTGCAGCTTGGCTAAGGAAAGAGGTCACTTTACATCCTGAATATAAGTAAGCAATATGTGTCATGTATATTTTTTTAATTAAATTGATATTGTCAATTTAGATAAATTCGGTTGTTAAATATGATATTGTTCTAATAAAATATTAAATGCAAAAACAGGCATGATGCTGTAATAACGCAGCACATCAATTATGACTTGCTAAAAAAAATCCATAGCATTGTTTCCAATGATGTGTTATGTCCAGAGCTACTTGGACAGTGCATATCATCTAAAACTACTGATACCATACCTGCCGCTGTTGCAAAAGCAGAAAAATGTTCAACAGCGAGTTGTTAATGATAATGATTTTGAAGCATTTCAGGTAAATCAGTAAATATCTTTTTTAATGCCCTTATATATATATACATATTTAATATTATTAATCTTTGTAATTAGATAAATACATTTGCGTTTACCATTTTTGTCATTTCCGTTAAAACAAAGTATTAAAGAAACAAAAAAAAAAAAAAAATATAGCACAAAATATAAAATTTTATATTTGTAATTTTATATTCCATTTGTCAGAGATGTATTTTACATACTTCTATCTACCAAATATAAGTATATAATAAGAGAGCAACATAATTTTCAAAATTCTAAAAAAGAAATAGCTTTCAAATTTTAAAAGAAGAGGAAAATAGTATTGAGTATATGTACAAAAAAGAATTAGAATTGCTATAACAATAAACCAACATTACACATAAAACCACATTCCACAAACTAATGATTTTACATTTGATTCGTTTAAATGTATTACTTAATATCACGGTTGGGAAAATTAATTTAAAAGTAATTCGTTACTGTTCCTTTTTCCTGAAAAATAACTCATTATTGTTACTCGTTACCGTTACTTATATTAGTAACGAGTCGTTACAAATTATATTATTTTTTTTAATGTTAATACATAATCAAGTTAAACACCCAAAATTTACATTTTTGAATGTTATTTTATATTTCACATTTATTTTAAATTTACATTTTTAAATGTTATTTCACATTAAAATATAACAAAAGCTATATATAATCAAGATAGTGATATCGCTATTGATATAAAATATGTAATAATTTTGATGATAATAATTAATTTTGAATAAAAAAAAACTTAAAAAAAGTTGCAAGTTTTTTTGAGATTTTTAAATGCTGTAAATGTAAATAAAAAAAGAGAAAGTTTTCTTATTGTTAGTTCTCTATCAATAGATTCATAAATGTCAAGAACTCTAACACAATATGCTAATTTTTATCTCATATTTTTGACCAATCATTGACTTATATAATTAAAACTGCGTTCCGAAATTTACTATCATTACTAAAAATCTATAGTTCACATTATGTATTATAGATTTCCAGAAATGGCAGTAAGTTTTCGAAACGCAGCCTAAATGTTTCTTACAAAATAGGGAGAAATGAGATACTAAAAAGTTTCCAGCAGTTTTTATGTAATGCCGCATTTTAACGTTCTAGGTTTCTTTACATAAAAAATATACTTAGTAGATTCGAAAAAAGTGACGATGAAAGTAACTGTTAAATTCGTTACTCTTTATCAAAAGAACATAAGAAGTAACCAAATTACTTTTCTGTCACATGCAAAATTTATAACACTTATCATTATAATTACCGAAAAAATAGTAAATATTATGGTAACAGTATTACAAGTAACATATTATTTCTCAATCTTCCTTAATATTATTATGAATATATTGAAAAATTCCTTAATTGAACACAATAATATATAAAATAATATATAAAAAGTTTAATTTTGTAATATGTATATATTAGTAATGTGTGTAGTGTATGTATGTAGTTAAAATCGACATAAATTTAATTTTTTAATATATACAAGGATTCGTTATCTATTTTATGATTCATTAATAAGGTCATTCTTTATAATAATCTTTTATTCCAAAATTTATTTTTTTATTTTACATAATAATCAATGATAGTTAATCATGAAGCTACATTTGATTATCACATTTTACCATTAATATAAACGAAATTTATTTCTTCAGATACCTTTGTTAAGATAAAATATATTTAAAAAACGCATGCATAAACTATATTATTTGATATTTTATATATGAAAACATAGAGTGATGATATTACAGCTATCAAAACTGTTGCAAAATTTTATGAAACTATGTCTTGCTTTTATCTTTTTATTATGTTACAAATCTGTTTCATCCAACTAAGCAAGTCCATTAAAAGTTATTTATGTAGACACGTTTGCAAAAACTACATTTTAACTCAATGTTTATATAAGATCATTTATGCACCCAAAAAGTATGTTATTATTAAGTATTGTAGTTATTAGTTGTTATACAACCATCTTCCAATATACTTTTAAATGATAGTGTACATAGTATTTCTAAGGCTGCGTTCCGATATTCACTGCCAATACTAAAAATCTATAGTGTACATGACAAACTATAGATTTTCAGTACTGGCAGTGAATATCAGAATGCAGCCTAAATAGTGTGCATAATATTATATATATACTAAATCGAACAGTAGTATTATCATCTTTTCTTGTAATTAAAACTCTAAACATAATTGATTTGGCAAGGCTCAAAGAATGCAAATATTTGAGTAACATTATTTAAGATTTCAGATGATGATAAGTATGATTAAAGAAATACATATATACTACATACATATATACTATAATAGAGATATGTACTTATATTTACAAATTGTATAAAGATATGATACTTCTAACCCACTGAAGAAAGAGAGAGAGAGAGAGTATTAGTTTTGAGAATATAAATTAAATATAATAAGTTATGAAATAAAAAAATATATGTATATAATTTAGTTTATAACTTATGTTGCATACACACATCACACACATACACATGCTCTTATAATTTTCACAATTGAGATTACTTAAAAAAAAAAAAATTGTTATATAAATAAAGCATTAACACTATATCTTTATAGCATTATATATATCTTTTTCCTTTTTTCTTGTTATGTCTGTCATTACTTTTGCTACGTCTTTTTTTTTTTTAATACCAGTACATATAAAAAAATTATATAATGTGATATAATCAACAAAATTATAGTTATAAACAAATATTTTTACAGGATATTTTTTTTAATTATTACTAATATGAAATATTTTAATTATTACATATATGTTAATCTTGTTTACAATTACGAATTTGTCAATCAATTATATTTATCTAAATTCATTATGTTTGTCCAAGTTTGTTTTGTATGAAATATAGCTATTCCAAAATAGAGCAACTAATTGTACAACTAAAACTTGATAATGTAAAGGTACTATAGAGAAATTTATAAGTTGTACCATAGGCCAAAGCTGAAACAAAATAATGTCACAAAGCAAATGAAAGAAATATTATAATTTGTATGAGATATAATCATACATTACCTTATAATTATTTATTAAAATGTTATTATATTCATCTCGCACTTTAATTTTTATTTTTTCAATATCTTTTCCTTGGCAAATACCAATAGTAACTAATAAAACTGCTATAAATGTAGGTGCAAATAACAATTGGTCGCACGCAACCTTTTTTATTGCAACAGAATAACCTTTAGAACCTATATATTTATCTAGAATACCATACCAAGTTCTTGTTGCTGGACCCTACAATTTTATTAATACATATTGTAAACTCTCATTGATTACTGTGATAATCTATTTCTATTTTTAAAGTTGTTGAATTATACATATTTTATATATTATAATATCAAATTCCAAAAACATTAAGCATATATACTAGAAATATCTGCATGTGAAAGATACTTGAAATTTTTATATAATATACAACATCAATAGCATAAAGTGTACTTACACTAATAAACAAACCAATCCCAGCAAACTGCATTGTACGTACCAAATCAATGGTTTTCGAATTATCTATAAAATTCTGTGCAATTTGATCACCAAGTCCCATTAATATTCCTATATATTCAATGTTATTATTCAGTATTGTATTACAATATATTTATATATAT